AGAACAGCTGTGTGCGAAATCAATTGGCCTGGGAGATGTGGTACGTGATGTCATTAAAATAATAAACTGTATTCGCTCCAAGGCACTCTCACACCGCCAGTTCAGAAGCCTTTTAGAAGAGATTGATGCACAGTATCAAGATCTCCTTTACCATCAAGAGGTCAGGTGGCTGATCCGAGGGAAGGTGCTGAAAAGATTTGCGGGATGCTATTTTTGACTTTCTGAAGAGCAAGGACAGTGAGACTCAAGTGCCCTCAGATGAAAAATGGATTTGTGACGTGGCTTTTATGGTGGACATCACTGACCAGCTCAACACCCTGAATGTGCAGCTTCAAGGAAAGGAGCTAATTATTACGGAGATGTTTGACCACATAAAGGCCTTTCAGAGAAAACTGCAGCTACTGTGTCGACATCTGTCAGCAGGTGAGTTAATGCCTTGCACAAAATACATAATTTTAATGGTAATGTGATCATGTGATGCGGAGGAACAGAAATGTCAGTTGTATGATATGTGGAATATGACATTACTAGTGAGTGAAAATTGCAATATTTATTGCATTGATAATTATTAATTACTTTTTACTTCTTTTCAGGAAACCTGGCTCACTTCCCCAGTCTGAGAGAGGTAAACCTGGTACAACAGAAACTGTCTGAATATGCAACACTTGTCAGCAACCTAGACCTGGAGTTTGAAATGCGCTTTCAGGACTTCAGGAAGAATTCAGGTGACATGGAGCTGTTTTCCCAACCCTTCAGCACAAGTGTGGACTGTGTCCCTGATCACATTCAGATGGAGCTGATTGAGTTTCAGTGCAATTCAGAGCTGAGGAATAAATTAATGTCACTGAAACTGAAGGACTTCTACACACATATCTCACCAGAACGGTACCCAAACATTAGGAAGCATGCACAGGTGATGTTATCTCTGTTTGGCAGCACCTATATTTGTGAACAGACTTTCAGTGTAATGAACCTTAACAAAACCAGGCTCAGAAGCACTCTGACTGATCTACACCTGCAGGACGTTCTCACCCTCTCAGTTAGTCAGCTTCAGCCTGACATTGAGAGGCTGGTCAAAGCCAAAGACCAGCTTCATGTGTCTCACTAATAGTGTCAAACTGCTGCTGTTTGCTGTCAGTATGGACATGCATATGGACATAATTCGTGGCTAAATAAAGATTTATTTGCTTTGTATTTGCTTCCTGTTCTTTGTACAAAGAGTGAAACGCTTTTTCATTTTTTCTCTTTGAAATAGAAGTGTAGAAGAATTTGAAGTACTTTAAATGCTGCTGTGTAGCTTGTGAAATTCCTACTGGTGATCAGTAAAGGTTTTTCTTATGATTATATCACATTACATATTAGTAATCTGCTCATGAAAAGAAATTAGTAACTAAAGTTATCAAATACATGTAGTGGAATGGAAAGTACAATATTTGAAGCCAAAGTATGGAGTATCAGAAATACTCAAGTTAATATCTAATACCTCTGAATTGTACTTAAGTAAATGTACTCAAGTTAATATATTAATTTGCAGATATTAACCTTGGCAATGAAACCATGCGTTTTCCAGGTGTTCCAGCAGCTGGAGGGAGATCGCATCAGCATGCTCAGGTGTGCTCTGTGGGACCACTGCAATCACTTCTCCTTGCAGTGTGTTAAAGACGATGAGGTGACCCCACCTTCTCTTTACCCAAGTAGTTTTAAATGTTTTCTCTTGCCATTTGTGAACAAACCTTGATAATCAAAGGAACAAAACAGCCATTAAACTTTAAATGTAAGCATGATTCATTCATTTTAACAGAAAAGTTAAAATGAGAGTAAATGGTTTGTTAATTTCCTACATAATACCCCAGGTTCACTCTGGGGTGACTGTCAGCTTGAATCCTCAGTTTTAGTTCCATTTCAAACTGTAATTTAGTTTAATGTAGTTGTAATGTAGTTTTTTAGCAAAGGTAACTTTACTATAAATTAAAGTTCTTGACCTACTGAGCTAAACAGGAACAGTGTACAATTGCCTTCTGTTTTAAAAAATCAGTGCTACGAGGAGGTGAGGATGATTCTGGAGCAGTGTGACATCACGACGGACAACAACTGTTTCATAGAGATGAGAAGCACAGGACAGAGGCCTCCAGGTGAGCACTTGTGGTCTGCCAAGTGTTTCACATAATGAAAAAGTTTTAATCTGAGTGTGCTTTCCCCTTAAAACCTGAATAGAGAAGTGAGAAAAACAACAAGTTGCAGTTAGTGAAGAATAGGAGTAGTGTTCAGGTTCTATTCTCAACTTCTGTCCTTTCTCTTTCAATGGAGCCACAAGTAGAAAACAATCAAATGGACAGCTGTTCTTTTCCTTCCACAGAGCCCATAGTGTTTGAGAGCTACTACCCGAGGGAGACGGACGGGAACATCAATGGCCAAGCTCTTTTCGTAGGAGTAAAAGAAATGATGAGGTGTGACACAAATCCTGTAACACTAACGGGAGGAGACAACATACTGCTGTCACTTTATAACCTGCCAGTTTTAAGAGAATAATACATGAATACTGTAAGAAATATCCGTCTCCTGTTGGTTCACCCTTCTTCGGTATCTACTTTAACCAACTCTGAAGGACTCACAAGCTGATGTGGTTTATATCTCACTATGTGTTGATCAGAACATTACTGGAAACCACTGTGTTTTTCCTAAATATCTCACTTCAACCTCTGTCATACAGCTGCTCTGGTTCCTTTCTGGGAAGTTCTGCCAACATCAGCATCGACACTCCTCAAAACTCATCATCATCATCTGCCGATGAGTGTAAGTACTGCAATTTGTCTGTGCAGATTCTCAGTCATCCAGGTCATAGTAAACTGAAAAAACCTTAGAATTACTTACTGCAATTACTCACTCTTTCACCATCATCTTACACTTAATTATAGTCCTGCATTTTTGAGAACCCCCAACAATCATCAGTGTGTTGCTGGCCCTGCCTTACACTTTATAAGTGCGCAGGGTTTGAGTTTGATCTGGATTCACATGTATAAAACTTCACCTTTGAACTTTAGCAAATCGTTAAACCCAAGATTTAAAAATGAAGTTCTCGAGTTGTGTGGCTATATTCATGGATCCTTTTTATACAAACAGGCTATATAAATCAGCTTTAAAATGTAAGTACATTAACTAAAGTTAGGTTTATGTAAATCAGGGTTGAACATTTTTCTTTTCTTGGCAGTTCTTAACTTATTGTAAATGCTGGTATAGCACAGCATCCTCTGTAGGATTCAGTGCTTTGTAACAAAAAGAGGCTATAACTTAGCAAACATCACTATATGTTTACACTGACTGAAATTTAAATGCACTATAGTGTATACAGTGTACAGCGGATAAATTGCCATTGTTGCCCATCAATCTACTCGATAACAATTACAACATAAAAGTGTTTAGAAACTCTTGCAAATTTATATTAGAAGTCAAAACTCTCTCATTTACAAACGTATTCCAACCCTGACCATAGTTTGGAGCCGAGGCTGTTTCACTGAGATGTGTCTAGAACCTGGAGTCCACCTGTGGCAAACTCAGCTGACTGAACACAGCTTAGAAAGAAACACACGTGTAAATAAGGTTCCACAGTTGTAAGTCAGGACAAAAACCAAGCCATGAAATCCAAGTAGCTCTCTGTGACCTGTGAAGCACAGATCAGGACAAGGGGATATAACCATGTAACAAGGATGATAATCACTTTTATTGGCCACGAATGTAATACACACAAGGAATTTGGCTCTGGTACCGAGGCAGGCATCTGTGGCGGTGACTCACACGCACCGGTGGTGGCACCGGCCTGGCTATTGGGTGCAACTTGGGGTTCAGTGTCTTGCCCAAGGACACTTGAACTTGTGAACCTGGGAGAACGGGAACCGAACTGCAGAACTTTTAGTTAGAGTACAACCGCTCTACCTCCGGAGCTACAGCCGCCCTAGAGATCTGGTGTTCCCAGGAGCACAGTGGAAGATGCCTGGAATCACCAGGACTCATCTTAAATGGTCAAGAGAGTCCTTGGTCAGGGAGGAGACCAAGAACCCAACATCCCTCTGACAGAGCTTCAGCAGTCCTCTGCAGAGAAAAGAGAAGGGCAACCACCTGAGCAGCTCTCCATCTGCCAGGCCTTTATGGTAGAGTGGCTGGGAGCCACTGTGAGTAAAGGCAGATGAAACTGCTTGTTTGTCAAATGCTATAAGGACTCAAAGACAAAAGAGAGCACATTTTCCCTTTGCTACTATGGGGTATAAAGCAATGATAAATGGGCAAAAATGTCAATTTTATCCATTTAAAATGAACTCTGCAACAAATTAAAATGTGAAAAAGTGAAGGGGTCTGAAAACTTTCTGAAACCACTGTGCTTACCTGTGATCTCTGGAGAGAAGCTAACATTTTGTATTTGTAATTGCCTGCTATGACTCTGGCTTCAGCTGTGATGTTAGATGGAGGATACGCACCCCTACCAGGCCTCCAGCAGGAAGCGTCACCGGCCATGTGTCCAGATGATGAAAACATCTACACTGTGTTTTATGAATACACTGCACAGGTGAAAACTTTGAATGGCTCATTTTGTCACATATTTATTTACCAAGATCTAACTGGACAAGAAGCCAGTACCCGTACTCAGATTGTACAGTATGTTAAACCGATGATTGTGCTGCCCATCTCTGACTGAGTCTTGTCATCTTTGCTCATGTTAACTGGTCAGGAGGAGGATGAACTGTCAGTAAACCGAGGGGACAAGGTGCAAGTGGTGGAACGAGGAGAAGATGGTTGGTGGTTAGTGGAGAGGAACGGTTTGAGTGGACTGGTGCCAGGAAACTACCTGGGCAAAATCTGAGCACACAGAAAGAACAAAAGTACAGACAGATACGCACACAGATGACACACATGAACCACAGTCACACACACACCATAAAGTCAAGGATGTATCATTTGTCATATGTGCAGAAACACACACAAACATAGACACAGACCACATACACACATGCCTTTATCAAGCTTCCTTGACAAGTACCCTTTGCAATCCAAGCTCATTGACCGAAACTGAACTGAAAATCCAGTATGTAAAAACTGAATTATGTCTGTTACTGAGGTCACAGTTAAAGGTGGTGGTGTACTGAACTACATTATATTCAGAGGTGTTCCTAATATTCTGAGCCTCTCATGTATGTAGCCGGGGAGGACAAAAATTTAGAGGCACTTCTGAATGTAACCTAGTCCATTACAACACCACCTTTAACTATGACCTCAGTAATAAACATATCATTAAATGTATTGATTTATGACAGTTTTACCAAAACATAAACACAGATGTTAACACTTTGTTGTTCTCAAGATGAAATGCAACCAGTTTGGGTGGAAGCTGGGTGGAGCTCTGCTAGTAATTAACTGTAGATCTGAAGCAACTAGTTGATAGCTATGAACTCACTGGGAAGAAAAAAGTCACACGAGCATTAGTGAGTCAGTGGGACATATTTCTGTACATAACAGCAATAGTTTGACGAATAAACATATTGCTCTCCAGTTTGTGGTTCATTACGTGAGTTTACAAGTAGCTAATTCATCAGCTGGTACCTTTTAGAACTATTGAACGTGGCATCTTTGTATTGCTCCAACTTCAGTTTTGTCTATACTTTCTCTGGTTGGTAGTTTTTGCATATGTCAGATATCATAGTTAAATTCACAATACATATGTCGATGAAGCTCCTTTATTTGTGATTACTGTGACATAAATCACATACCATAATCTGTTACAGCAAAGTGAATGTACTGTATATTCTGGCTACGATGCACATGTATTGGTATGTATACAGCACGTAGAATACACTACATATATATACAAAAAAAGCTTTTCTGGGCTTCTGGCACCAAAGACCTGGATAAATGTGCCAGGTGAGCAACTTTAATTGCACAGAATGGGCAGCATGTTTCAGTCCGGTATCTAGCTTTATGCATCTATAGTGAACACAAGCTTTTTTTCTAATCTCTCATAGCCAAACCTTTGCTTCATTTGGCTGCTCATGTTACATTACAAAATTCCCGAAAACAGCATCTGACAGATGGCACCTGAGATGCACTGACAAAAACAAAGTCTCAAAAGTAAAATTAACGAAGTAACCCACTATACTGTGACCACTATCATCTTTACCACACAAAAGATTTAGATTATATGGAAGCATTCAGCAAAAACTGGAGACCTTATCTTCAATTTATCAATTGTCTTTTTGCTGTTCTTTTGACTTTAATGTGTGATCAAACGTCATACTCCCTCTTTAACTGTTGCCTTTACGATTTTGCATTGTTTTTTGTTTAATAACTGTAACTTGTAATAACATCAGCTATAATGCCTGGAGACTGAAAAAAACTCCAAGCTCCAAGAGTCACCTTATTAAGACTGATGACTCCTGGGGCATCAGAAGCTCCATGTTTTTTTTTTGTTTTTTTTTTAACATTAATGTAACATTAACATATCAGTCTATGATGTTATATGGAAATACAAGCATACATTGTGGCAGAAAAATCTATCATAAACAGATGACAAACCAGCAGGAACCTAATGTTAAATATTTAATAACCATGTATTTCTGCATAAGGCAAATTTACCAGAAGTTAGGGTTAGGGTTAGAAAAGAAGAGAAGAATCAAACATTGACCTCAGCTTCTAAACCGCAATGTTTGAAAATGCTTTGAATACACGCTTACATACTGAATTCTTTCTTACTGAACAAAGGTGAATTCGCGGCAAAAGTAACACCAATTCAGCTGCACCAAAACTCTTTAAACTCTTTAAACAAGTACTTAAAATAATCACAGCATGTTCACAACCCCTTCGCCATACTCTAGCATGAGTTAGAACCGTGTTTGAGTTAACAAAGTCACTTAATTGACTTACCTGTGGATGAGTACAGTGGACATATTACTCAGGTCAGAGCTTGTTTTATTCTGAAGCTGTGCCTGCACTTAGTCTCTCCAGTCGCCACAGTTGAGCCACAGCACCATCTATCGGTCCGGGGTATATAGTGTGCAGAAACGTCATGATGAAACAAAAAATATAGGGGGTGTCTGTTTAAATGTAAAACTTAAAATGTAGCGTTTTTATCTACTACATGTACACTTGAATTTAATTTGTATAGCACCAAATAAAAGTCACAGGAAGCTATGTGCACTAGAGGGCGCCAACGTATAAGCACATAGTCATGTGTCTACTGTAAATGTTTGAGCCTAAGCATGTCATCTATTATAGAGGAGCAGCTATGTTCATTATCAATTCATATGCCAGTTATTTTCTTAATAAATTAAATGGGATCCAAAATGCCTTTATGTGATGATCAAAAGGCCAAAACTGAAAGACGTTTGTCATTGTTTAGTTTATCATGAAAGTTTAAGAAACCAGCTCATATTAACATATGAGAATTTGAAACTAGAGAGAGATGTTCTTGGCATTTTTGCTTACAAAATGATTTAATTACTCAACAAAACAACTTAGTTCTCTGTCAATCAATCCCCTCAGCTTGTTATATACAATCTTTCACTGGGTAAAGTACAGGGGTGAGGCCAACAGAAGCTGCCTTTGTGGCAGTAACTTTATTCGGTTTCAGAACTATAGCTTAATGCAGTGAATACAAACTGACAAAAGGATACAAAATGACCATAAAGAGATGCAAAACAAACAAAAAAAGACACAACAGATCCCTTAATCTCCTGTCTTCTCTTTCTTTATCTTTCTCTCGCATGCAGACAAACGTCAAGTCCCCGTGATAAATAATACATTTGTGTTTTGCATTAACTGGGTGTCTGAGGTGGTGCAGTTGCACAAGAACAGCTGTAGATGAGTCACACTCCCACCTCACGTTCCCATTAGCTTACAGCTGAATAAATACAGCCCATATAAATAGTTTCATACCTATAGTCATGTTGCATCCTGTTGCATTAAAATAGAATCAGCTGGTGCTTGAGTTCATTTTTAGTCGCATTTCTCTTTCATGATGAGAAACAAATTAAGACTTTATACCCATTTCTGGGTAATGGGTGAGAGCGGATGCTGCGACCACAGTGTCCTGGTAACAGCAGTTTGAGCCAGAGAGGTACATTTAATGCATTATGACATCTGAAGACTACCAACCAAATCTTGGGGGGACAGTGTAGGGCTCAGTGTGAGGACGTTGGGTCTCTGTCAGAGGTCATGGGTCTTACTGCAGGACAATGACCCAAAGCAGACTTCACACAGCACCAAAAATAGCTTCAGACAATGAGCTGCAGGGTTCAGAAGCTGCCGGCATTGAGTCCAGGTCTAAATCCCATAGAGCGCCTGTGGAGAGATCTCAGAGCAGCAACTGGGAGAAGGAACCCTTCAAATCCGAGAGACCTGGAGCAGCTGGCAAAAGAAGAGATCTCCAAAACTCCAGTAGAGAGGATGTAAGAAACTCACTGATGGTTACAGGAAGCAAATGATTTCAGGTACTTTGTCCCAAGGGTGTGCTACCAAATATTTTGAGGGTGTCAATAATTGCTGCTCTGCATAATGACAGTAACTTTATGTTAATCAACCTGAACTCAGAAAACTTTACACAGCGCTGACACAAATAACTGATGGATTAATTAGAAGAAAACCGTGTCAGTTGATTTGATGTGATAAATCATTTGCTACCTTTAAATGAAGTGGCCAGTGGAGCATCTATTTCTTCAGCAGAGATAGTAACAGCGTCTGTCGCCGTTTCCTGAACAGTATTTCTTTTTTAACATTTTCTCCTGTCCACAATAATAATCGTACTGTGTGTGAAAATGAGTCAGGAAGCACGTTGGACCAGCACGTGGTACGATTCTCAGGTTCTACTAGATGTCTGTCACCATGCATGTGAGCTGTGGTGACAGAGGACCACCTACTGTATATACTGTATGTATGTGACCCCTAGGAAAATCATCAGTTACCATGGAGACCAAAATACAGAAATCAAGTTCATGAACCAGAGGAAATGTCAGTTGATGGCACAGCTATTTGTTTAATCATGACAAATATCAAACCGTGGCCTCTGTGTGTTAACTGGCAACATATCTGCCTTCGCAGAAAACCTGTGGATGAAATAGCAATTAAACAGTCAAGCTGAAGTGTATATGTTTATTTGTCTCTTGTCTGTTCTCCAGGCTATACACAGTTTTGTTTGATGTATTTTTTCTGCAGCACTAGCTAGGGGTCAACTTAACAGTAAAGCAGTGCACAATTTCACAAAAATCTATAAAATAATAGATCCAAGTTCTTTACAGCAGGTTTATAAGTAACTAAACAGAAGGATTTCTCTGACTGCAACTGAATTTACACATCCACAAGTCTTCAGGTAACACTGATCATACTCCTACTAACGGCACTGGAAACTAAAAGGTGCAGTGCCTCACTAGTGAAGCCAGATTCAGAAAACATTCACGTTAAAACACTATGTACGTTATTCACAACCTGAATATTTGTGAGTATGAAGAATTCTTTCTACCAGACATGGCTTCAAGAGACAAAATGCAGAGCTGCTCCAAAACTAAAGCGGCACAGACTGACTTTGTCTGACTATAATTCTGTCAGTGTCCAGATAACCTGTTTCTAAGTGCTAAGATTTCACCAGGTTCTCAGGAAGTGTATATGTTCTTTTTAGCATCGATTTGACATTTTCACAACTATGAAATAACTCCAGCGCTCCAGTCATAGTGCAAACTATACCACAACTGAGCTACATTCCATACAACACTCCCAACCATGATTTCACTCATCAGCTCCAAATTACTTATCATCATTAATGGGAATGAGTCCAAATTTTAGGAAACCACAGTAAAAAAAAAAAAAAAAAAAAAATCTGCATCAACACCAACAATGCCCATTAGCCACCTATAACTTTGGCTTTTTACAGCATGTCAGTATTTGTAAGGGAAAAAAACATGTGAAGTAACAGTAACTTAGAAAGCATGTCAATAAATACCTGGTTTCCCTTTGAAGACCCCGCCCACCCAAACCACATCATCAGTGCTAATTAGCCACATATAACTTTGGCTTTTTACAGCATGTCAGTATTTGTAAGGGAAAAAAACATGTGAAGTAACAGTAACTTAGAAAGCATGTCAATAAATACCTGGTTTCCCTTTGAAGACCCCGCCCACCCAAACCACATCATCAGTGCTGGCTACTGTATCATGAACTGTGCAAGGTGTGCTTGAGCTTATACAACTACAGCTGAAATCTACTGTGGACATGTCTGGCGAGGCTCCTTTTGATGGTGTCGGAGTGCTTCGCTGACTGTCTGCATCACTCATGCATAGCTGTTGGTGGTGACCAGCAGTTCATACGCTGGGTCATGACTCCTCCTACAAAGCACCACGCAGGCGCAGAGCATGCCCAGCATCTGCGGGCACACAGCACAGGAATCAGAGTCAGTCAGTCTCAAAGGGATTTTCAGATAGATTATGCACACTTATTACGAGTTCCTACACAGCGGGCACAAACTACCACCGTCTTAAATATGCTCCCAATAAATAGGACTCTGACTTGATTTTAAAATTACCTGTATTGATGCGAACGTTAAAGCAGCCCATATGACATACATCATGATCTCTTTTAATTTCTTCACAACAAGAGCTTCACAACCCTAAAAGCGTAAAATAAATGACATTAAAATGAGCACAACAGGCAGAATGACACTATGTCATGCTATACTTTTAGCTGCTACACGTCCATATTTCTGCACGTTGAGTGTACCTCTTGGTAGAGATCTGCTGGCTGAGTGAGTGTGCCCGTACAGTTGCTGATGCTGGGCTGACAGCAGCTGACGGGGACACTGTTGTTCTTGGATTCTTTAAACCAGCGAGTGTTCCTCCAGTCAGAGTAGTTGTGAATGCCACAGCAATGAAGCTAACAGGGAAACGGGGGAGGATGGTGAGAGAAAACCTTCAGAATCTGGAGGTCAGACCACAATCTAAAATATGCATAAACAACAAACCTGAGACGGTGTAAAAATGTCAGTTTGTTAAAAGTCAAAGGTCTTTTCACATTTAGACTGTTAAACAACAACGACCTTTGCTCCTCACCTGCCTCTGCACGTAGTCGATAGCGCGGCTCGGAGCGTCAGTGTTGGTGCCGTTGTACTTGTTGTAAACCTTCTGGATGGAGTGATTCACCTGATCTTCTACCTGAAGCAAAGAGACTGTTGCTGTTACCATCGCTGTTCAGTGTCTGCGGTTTATCTCTAAGGAACAGGGTTTCACATTATAAATCTGATTTACAACACAGGCTCCTTCGGCAACCCTGCACAAACAGGATTTCGGATATATGAGAGCAGCTGAAGAAAACGTAGCAAATTTCTGAAACAATAAGGGGGGTATAGCAGAGGGAGGTCTCGCCCGGGGAGTAATTCAATGTCGAACTGCCACCGCATGCAGACAAATACAACCAGGTTTACCTTTGCCCTGTATATGTAGCCCAGCACCACCACCACACACTCTGTTGCAAACACCAGCAGGAGGATGGCGGCAAACTGAAACGACAACACAAACACACCATTACTGAGGTAAGCTTCCTTGAGATCCCCACAGTACCAGACACACTTCAGAACCTCCTCAGCATTCAGCTCAGTCAGTGCACACTCACAGTTGCCAGTCCACAGGAGCTTTCACGAATTGTTGCACAGCAGCCAATCAAGCCAATGATGAAGAGAAGAGTCCCAACAGCTATTATGGAATCAGAGTGTACACATCTTCAAAGAAGTGCTCGTAGTCGTCATATGTGATGAACACATAGGCCCCAATGTAGCACAAAATTCCAGCTGCTGCCTGTAGACAAAAAGAGAGAAGCAGGAGTCAGAGGGACATTGAGTGAAAGAGGCCCTGAATCCTCTTCTTGTTTACTTTTTATTCATTTGTCTGGTTTCTTCTGTGGGTCTCATGCCAATTACGTTCAATTGTTAAACTATGTCACACCATGTATATTCTTTTTTTCTAACTAGACAGAAGTCAGAGAGAGCAAACCTCCACCCCAGCAACTCAGTTTGAAGCCATTCAGTGGCCTAGAGCTGCAGCCATGAGTCAGTTCACTGGTAGAAAATTAACCGGCAGCTATTTAGAAGCAACAGTCACCAACATGTTCTGGTTCCACCTTCTTTAATGTGAGGAGCTGATGCTTTTCTTTGTCAGACATGAGAATCAGATGAGTCTCTGTGGATCTGATGGTTGGACACAACAAGACGTGTGGAGACGTGTGCCACTTTTGGCTCTGGAGAGTCACAGTGGGACTTTTTCCCAGTGTCTGACGTTCTGGGGATAAACAGATCAATCAGGTCATCAGGACAAAGATCAGCTGATTAATCACTGACCCCTGAATTTATTTTTATTTTTTAACTCATTTATTCTGGATTGTTCTTTAATTTGTCAACCATCTGTACTAGCTGTTTAATCTACTATATTGCACACTATGGTACTGTTTACTGTATGAGTAACATAATGTCAGATGTGTAAATAATTTCTTTTTTTGCCTTACAGGATTACTTGCATTGTAAACATTGTACAGGCTCCTCTGATAATGCAGCATGAAGGAAATTTTTATTCGATGCAGACAGAGGCAGAAAAGTAACAGACAAAAAATAAAGAATTTGGCCAAAAACTTCCCAGTTAAATGCACATTTTAAATCTACTGAATTATGAGTGAAGAATGGCAATTTAGAAACACATGTTACATGTTAAGAATCTGTTTAGCCTCACAGACAGGAACAACATATCTGAAACATGGGTTCACTGTGAACTAAGCTGCTTGATACCTCTACCTTATTCAGTCCCACACCATTGGAGATGCTATGGGCTCTTTGTAAGCCAAAACATTTAGAAGAGCTCAGTTTACTGTTTATCGTGATGCAGCATCTGCAGCTGCTGCATTACGTCATAGCTTCAAGTTGTGGGCGGCAGCTACCGACACACACTAGCTACCGCCACATTGTTGTGTCCATAATCGGTGCACCTCGGGGCCAACGTGACATCTTGTCCGTATCCCCGCTCAAACGACAGCGCATATCTGGTGCGGTTCGCCAGCTTACTAGCTTGCTAATGTTCTCCATCCCCGGCCTCACAGGGATGCTGCTGCTGCTGCTGCTGCACACAGTTCGAGCATCTGCCGTTTCCTTACCCAGAAGATGAGATTGAGAAAAACCAAGACGGTTTTGGATGACGTAATTCCACACTGCCCCATGGTATCGACAGCATTAAAATTAAAACGGTCGTTCTAATTAAAAAGTATGGGCGCACCTGCACCTTTTGCGGTTATAATAAAATGGCCTCCCTGCTCCTCCTGCCCCGCTGTGCAGATGCTTATGGGCTCGACCAATGAGATCTCCGTAATGGAGGGACAAGGTCACGTGCTCCAGTGACATCATCTTTCAAAACAGTGATGGAGGCTGTTTAAACGTCTTTGAGCCATTAGTGTATCCCAAGAGCTTTTAAGTAAAAAGTTAAATACATTCTTTGCTTACCTCTATCGGTACTTTTTACCCGTTCACTTTTCTTTTGTTACCCAGGATTTAATGTTGAATAATGGACGTACTGACAGTACATTTTAATCCTTATACCTCATCACTGTACATTTGTATTTTTATGTGATGTCTGAGTATGGCTGACAGTTGTTTTTGTTACACTGTCCACCCCATTTATATCTGAGAGGCTGGACTAAATAACAGAAACAGGTAAGCAGCACAAACCTTCAGGATTATCATAGAGCTGAATCAGGACCTCTTTGTTCCAGGACTGTTGGTTCAGACTGACTTTGCTTTAAGAAACTGGGATTAAGCAATGAGAAAATCAAAAGCAGCAAATAATCTCCTAATGCCATCAGTGTATTTCATCTATTCAAGTCCCCGTGTATAACAATTAAGTGTTTCTGGAAAAAAAACGAACTTTATCTTGACATTTTATTAATATTTGAAAGGCAGGATGTGAACTAACTCACTCCAACAGCTCAGATGTGAGCTCTTGATCAGTACAGCTTGTGCTGATACTGACTGAATTATCAATTTTTCTGCAGATATGGTGCCTGACAAGCCGGTCAGTGACATGTCCTGTAGTAAGGATGGCTGTGCCAGAGGGTGGCAGTGTGCCATAGCCAGTTTTACACTGGCAGAAAAGCTGTATCCAGTGTAAGCAGCTGGTACAAACACCCTTCAACCATATGATAATCATTGGAGACATCACTTTTTCAGATGTTCGATCTCAACCCTGAATAAACAACATGCACTCTATCAAATATTAATGAATGTAAACGACTTGTGCCTTTTTTCCTCCTGTCTCCTCCTGTTTCCTACCAGGACAAAGTTGAATTAGTACCTTTGGGGCACTCAGTCAGTAATGACTTGGACTGGTGCCCAGAGCCTTGGTTTTATTGAGTTAAAGCTAGCCACATTCGTCTCTGTCAGCCTTTGGTGTTCAAACAGCAGAACTTAGACATTCAAGTCGGAGCTGAGGCCACCTCTGTTGACATAGCATAGATCCACAGAGTGAATTATTCACATGATTACCTGATGGCTATAACTTAAGTCATTATTTAAACAGGATGATATAAAATAAAGAAACAAGCAGATTGCAGGGAGACAAAGACAGGAAATGTTCCATGCGGCTGTGTTAAGGTTTGTGCATGAAAAGTGATGGTAAATGTTTTACCTGGTTTAGAGTTTGGCTTGAAAAAGCAAAAGGGCTCTTTTTCATGGGTAAGATGAAAACCATTTATTTTCATACAAACGAGTGCACATTTCCTGTCAGGGACCAAGCTGTAAGGCAAAAGACACAGCTTCCAAAGTTCAAAATAAAGGGCTTTTTATTAACCCAAAAGTAAGAAAAATACAAAATTAACATCAGATAAATTGGGCCCTAAAAGAGGTCAACAAAAGATAAGGAAACTGAAAATACAGCAAACTGAACTGTCTAATACCTCAACAAAACCAACTGACCTAGCAAATGACACACACAGGGGAACATGTATACTGGCTGGCCAAACCAATAACACACACAAGGGATAAACTAAAGACACTACCAAAATAATCAACTAATAAACACTAAACAGACAGTCTGCTCTCAACTAAATATTTCCTTTAAATGTAAAGAAATTAACATAACTTGACAAATAAAGTTCCAACATAAACTACCAACAAATAAACAATAAATTTCTCCCAAACTCCCCCCTTTCTTGTATGGAGCACTTGGTGCAGTCCAGGCCTAGTGGGAGGTATTTAAACCTGCTGCCCCCCATCCATGGACTAGGAAACACAGTAACTCAAAAGAAAAGGTAAACATTAACAATACAAAATTAATCAAACGTGCATGCTTATCGATCAATTATGTATGTCTAATATAAATTACCCACCCAAGTCCATGGCTGGTGGTGGTTTAGGCCCCCACATGGTGAAGGCCAGGACTGAGGCCTTCACAAGTGGCATCCAGGAAAGGCTGAGCCCTTTAGGAGCAACGATGGGCCGAGGACCACCAGTTGGCCAACATATGTGTGAGACAATTAGTGAAATGTTTAAAAACAATGTTCTTCAAAGAAAGTTACGATGGATTTGGATCTGTCACCCTCTACGGTGCAGAGCATCATTAAAAGATTTAAGGATTTCAGTGCGTAAAGGCCGAGGGCAAAGCCTGAGCTGGATGACCGAGCTCTCCGATCCCTCAGATGGCACCGCATCAAGAATCGTCACTCTTCTATAAGCGATATAACCACATGGGCTCAGGATGACTTTGGCTTACCTGTTTCAGGTGCTACAATACTTAGTTACAAACATACTGTAAATGCTGCTTAAACCTGTACTGTGCCAAAAGGAAGCCCTGTGTCAACAGTGTCCAGAAGTTGACTGCTCTGGGCTCAGAGGCAACTGGGATGGACCATCACACAGTGGAAACCTGCACTGTGGTCAGACCAATCAGTGTTTCATGTCTTTTTGGAAGGAATGGACACCGTGTGCTCCAGACCAAAAACAAAAAGGACCATCAAGACGGTTACCAGCAATAAGTCTACAAGCCAGGGTCTGTCATGGTGTTGGGTTGTGTCAGTGCCCTGCACAAAGGTCACTTACACTTCTGTTATGGCTCCATTAATGCTGAACTATACACAGAGATGTTGGAGCAACACATGTTGCTTTCAAGACGACGTCTTTTCCAGGGATGCCCATGCATATTTCAACAAGACAATGTAAACCTCATACTGCCACATTACCAAGGCCTGGCCGTGGAGGAAGAGGAGGCGACTGCTGGACCGGCCTGCCTTTCAGTCCTGACCCGTCCACAGTAGAGAACGTGTGGCGCAGTTTGAAACACAAACTTGGTCAACAATGACCCAGGACTGTTGCCCCTTAAGACTTGTTTGCAGGGAGAATGAACCTGCATTATTAACAAATTTGTGAAGCATCTGCTTAAGAGTCTGGTTGAAACGTTCTTTTAACCAACAGTCTGATTGATGATATGGAGTTGTCCGTAAGCTCCTAATACCCAGAAGCTGGTAAACCTGCTTAAGCAAAGTGGACATGAAGTTAGTGCCTTGATCAGTTAATATCTCGGTGGGAAATCCAACTCTGGAGAAAAACTGAACGAGGCAAAAAGCAACTGCCTTGGCCTTAATCGACTTTAAGGGAAACACTTCTGGATATTTTGTTGCATAGTCAATAATCACTAGCATACAACGATTTCCTGCTTTCCACTGGACCAACAATGTCCATGCCCAAATGTTCAAAGGGGGTAGAGATATCCGGAAGGGGCTGGAGAGGAGCTCATGAAGGGAACTTGGTTGAGGTTTTCTGACACTGAGGGCAACTCCTGCAGAATTGAATAATATCAGCACGCAGTCCAGGCCAATAAAAATGTTGTTTAATATGGGCTGTAGTTTTATGCCTTGCCAAGTGGCCAGCCCAAGGGATAGAGTGACCCAAAGTAAGCACAACATCCCGAACAGACTGGGGAACAACTAGCTGCGTGACTGCTCCATGCTGACGATAAAGTATTCCCTTCTGAAGAAAAAAACTCCTCAGTCATGCTAAAGTCAGGCTCAGTACCCAATTCCCTCTCTTGTGCTCTCTGTAACAATGAAACTAAATGTGGATCCCTCTGCTGCATGTCCACCATGTTGCTAGGAATCTTAAAACCCCCATATACATCAGGTGTAGGATCTACTACTGATTGAA